TTCTTTTTTCCCTCTTTCATATCATAATACTTATCCCCGAGAAAGAGGTTTAACAGCATATTGGTCTTACCAGTGTTTGATCTCCCAGACACTACAATATAGAAAGGCCACTTTGGAGCATCTTCATCATCTAAAGATTTTTTCGGTGGTTTGATCTCATCGACATGATATACATAAAAATATTTCATTCTGATATCAATTCAACTATATCTTTATGATTTTTTTCTTTCTAATATACATAAGTATAGACATGTCTAATCTTGTAGAAGCCCAAACTTATGCCGAAAAACGTGGAGGAAAATGTCACATCCAAACTGGACCTACAACTTTCTTATTCTCGTGTCATAGGAAGCACTTATGGGAGAGGCCAATAGAAGTTATTACGAAGAGGTATGACTGGTGTCCTCTATGCCCATGTTCAAGAGGAGAACGTATATCAAGATATATATTCGAAGATTTGTTAGGAAAAAAATTCCCATCTCGTGCACCAAAATTCTTGAATGGATTACGGCTTGATGGATATAACGAAGAATTGCAACTGGCATTCGAATTTAATGGCAAACAACATTACGCTCTTAATCCAATGTTTCATAAAAGCGGGCAAGATTTATATGAGCAAAGAAAGCGCGATCAAAAAAAGCGGAATATCTGTAAGGAGCAAGATATATGCCTTATCGAAATTCCATATAACGTAGATCTTTATAACTTTATCCGAGATTCTCTAATCAAGAATGGATATCTCCAGAACTGTTCCAATTGATAATGGTTTTCTCTGGATTGGCCTTGTTTGATAATGATATTTCTGGATAAATTCGTCTGGCAGATATTCAAGATTTTTCATATCTACGATTTGCAATTCTTCGCGCTTAAATGGTCGACGTGGATTTCTACCCATAAAATGTTTTGTGGATTCAACTGGTTCCTTTTCAAGATAATATAAAACTGGCTGTGGCGGATTTTTTCCAACAACAATTTTTCTGATTCTATAAACACGTAATGAGAAGTATGGATCAGTTGCTCGGTGTGTATGTCCGCCTTCTAGTTCACCAGGTTTTAATAGGTATCTAACAGTAGTGCCTTTTGGTATTTGCTCTTCGTCTTCCCCAATAGGTCTTTTGGGTTTGATAGATGGTTTAGAGATCACTTCTTTCAACTTCATTGCGTTAGCAGGTGGTATATCTATTAAACGTGTCTTTGTATTATTCATATAATCAACAATTACTTGGAGAATTTTATTCCACAATCTCGATCGCTCTTCTGCTGGTAATTTTGAATCTATTGCATATTGGATTTTGTATATCTTTTTTGCCAACTCTCGCTTAAATGCCTTAACAATTGCTAGGCTTTCAAAACTGTAAAGGTCAACGACCCAGATAGAAACATTATATCATTGCATTCCCAGTGAAAAATGTCCAGAGAACTCTTTAGCACCATCAGCCATTAACAACTTCGGCCACGTGAGAGGATTATTTGGATCATTGTAAATTTCTTCGATTGCATTCCAAACTTCCAGACTATTTTTCGATGTCAATGACTGTGCACTTTTAAAATGTGTGGTGATGTCTATTACCACTAAAGTATAGAGATATATCTTTCCGCCTTCATAATCATGGGTATGTGCTAACAGATCGCACTGATGTACTTTCTTAGGAATAGATATCTTCTGAAACCCTGCTTTGGCTTTGCATTTTTGCAGAAAGAGATATATTTGATGAACATACTGGTTCTTTAACCATTTTTCAATATCTAGTAGGCGGAAATGATTGTATCCTTCTTGTTGACAGGCTTGTAATAATTTTTTAGCATTTGTAACAAATCCAGGTACGTGATAGTAGATTACTCTAAGAACGATTTTTAATTCTTCATCAGCACTGATTATAATAGTAGGTACACTCATTGCCATGATTGCGAAATGTTATAATTGAGGGGTTTTCAAGCAAAAGGTAGCTTAAGTCATATTAAATTATTTTGAGAAAATGACTCCTGAAAATTTGTTACACGAAAATTGATTGTTTTGAACCCCAAAAATTTATTATAAACGGCCGAATTTTTGGTAGGGCAAAAATTTAAAAATAAATTTTGGTGAAATGGCCGAATTTTCATTAATTAATTCTTTATAAATAATGCAAAAATTTCTTATAAAAAAAATTTTTATAAAAAACCAAATATCTAGTATAAAACATCTGAAATAAAACCTAAACCTTATTTATTAAAAATTTACCATTTATAATTATAACATGTTTTCAAATTTAAATCAATCATCTGTAGATTTAATTCATAGTAATATCACAAGTAATTTAAATCTAGAAAATGTCATGGAATTATCACCTGAAAATTCAATTTTACCAGATGAATTATATGATTTAGGATTAGAAGCATATGAACCAAATGAATTAGTATCTGAAGCAGTCCAGGATTTGAAATTATTTTTTGAAGATGAATCAAATTGCAAATGTTGTAAAAAAAAAAGATAAAATATGTTTTAAAAAAATTGGCTTTAGAAATTTTTTGGAAAGAAAATTCCAGTTAAAAGGATTAGAAGACAATGAACTGGATCTTTGTATTAAAACACAATTGATGGTTTTTAAATTAAATGATGAGGATGACAATGATGAAACAGAAAGAGATACTTATAATTATCAATATAATTCAACAATACCAATTTGTCAACCAGTTTTTTTAGAACTAAGTGGTTTTAGTAAAAAAAAATTAATAGCCTTGCAAAAACATTTAAAAACAGATGGTTTAATAAGTCGCATACATGGTAATACTGGTAAAGTT